AATACTGGTGTGTATGTTTTCTTTAAAGTACCGAGACCAGCCTTATACTGTATGTTTAAGTTCCAAAATTAATATCGTTTATGGCCTTCACACGCATTGCAGTATGCTCCTATTCTTTTTATGCTCAGGTACTAAGATTTCCCTTCAGTGGTAAAATTCCATATAAATATTCAATACTACAACGGGCACGGAAAGACGTTTACTGTAAATCTTTCTATGACAGACCAACGGAGCACGAGTACCCCTGTCAGTCAACCAATCACGCACCGCGGTACCACGCGTCATCGTGCGTCACAATGCGCGACGCCGTAGCCAATTACCTCCGGTACGTGTGTGTACCGTGCACTTTGAATGGCTCCATCTGTATATAATTTTCATACAGACATTAAAGTGCAGCCACTGTACTCTGAAAACAGTTATGTAGATGGATTGGATTGATATGGCAGTTTGGTGACCCTCTGATGTCTAGGACAGGACCTAATCCTGACTGTTTTACAGATTACAGACATTTTCATGGTTTCTCTAGAGTAGTCTTGATGAAGTAGAAATCTGGGCAATTTCTCCCACAGCCAAAGCACTTTTAATCATGACATTTGCCACCAGGTGACCATCATTTCACTCAAAAGGGGGCATAATTATATATTTTCCTTAATTAATTAAAATAATATCATTAATTAAAATAATATTTTTTGAATGTACAAATTTATCAGTTATTTTTAGCAGTTTTAATTAATGTCAAAAACCTAAAATGGGGCATTTGGGACTGTTATTGAAATGACATTACTTAGCTCTACATTTCTTTTTTTCCTGGGGAAAAAGACAACTCAAACAATGAATACTATACCTGTTCAATATTTAAAATTTGAAAAACATACTGTATGTGACCAATGAAGTATTGGTGCAAAATGTTTTATTCTAAATTTTCATTAAAAATAGAAGCATCTTGAAGGACTGTCCAGGTAAATATTTTAACAGGCCATTCATTAGTTTTGTATATAAATCCAGTTACACTGTTTTTGATCTGATGAATGGAATCCTCTACTAAATGTTTAGCTCCATTATTGGCACTTAATTATCCTTAAGTCATGCAGGTCAATAATATAGAGCTTGACAAACTACCAGTCATTAAGGTAACAGTAACTGTGAGGAAATAATTATAAAGAGCTATTTTTTATTCAATGTTACACTTCTGAAATTCTGAAGTTGCAGGAGTAGCATGCATGTACAAATACATCAATAAAACCAAATAACAACAAAAACTGTTTAGTAGAATGTAACATTACTGATGAGTCAGATTGATTTTGTCAAGAATGTAAATAAAAAACATCCAGTTAATTTTGCAATAGGTCATTTGCAGTTGCATCAATATGAGACTACGGAGTAATTGCATTATATTTATAGAAATCAAACTTTATTAGTAATTAAACTTGTCAGTTGATGTGGTTCAGGTTAAAGTGACCCAAAGCACACAGGACCATGTGGAACCCCAAACGATAAAGACACTACAGAAAGGAGACTACTTTGGGGAGAAGGCTCTGATCAGGTCAGACTGCTGCATTTGTGGCTGTTGCTCACAGGTTGTATTCAGTATTGTATTGTATTGTATTCTGTTACAAAATATATTCCTTTTATTGGATTTTCAACAACAAAACCAACGCAATTCTATTGTTGGCATGTTTTATTAAAAAAAATCATTGATATGGAAAAAAACTAAAAGCACAATTCATTGTAGCTCTTTTTGTCTGAGAAATGAAAGGTTTTCTTTTCAGTTGGACTTTGTGTTATTTAAAGTTAAATGGAGAGAACAGCCAGGTAATGTAATAATGTCGAGTTATTCTTGTGGCTTGATTATAAGAAAAATAAAAAATTAAACGTATCCTGAATGACTTGAAATGAGATTGAAACATATTTTTAACCTTTTTCAATCCCTTTATATCTGTAAACCCAGTATTCTTTCCACTATCATATACAGTATACTGTACATATATTAGTCTAGAGTAGTATTTTCTATTCTTGCACAATAAATGTGTATCAACAGGGTTTCAGGCAGTGTACAGATAAAAAGAGTTTGACAGCAAGGCTTGTTATTTTAAAGTGTGTTTGATGTGTGCCTGATACTCTGTAATTCTGCTCCCTTTCGCAGTGATGATGTGAGGTCTGCCAATATAATTGCAGATGAAAATGATGTGGAGTGCCTTGTTATTGACCGAGAGTAAGTAATATTCTATCTGTGGACAAAAAATAGAAGGGGTCTCAATACTCAAGAGCTTCCAGTTAGCTCAAAGTTAACTTCAAAGGGTAATTTTTGTGTTATTATTGATTAAATGCTTTTGGTCCTGATTATCAGGAACTTCAAACCATTAAGAGAGGATTCCAAAGAATTACATGGTTGCACAGAACATACAATATGCAATGCAGAAATGAAAGACACAATCAATAGTATAATGTATGTACAATATCAGTATCAGTGATTTACTAAATAAAACTAAATAATAAAAAATAAGAATACACAAACACATGTTTTAAATTTGCAAGACAATAGAGATATATAGAATATATGTCAGACATTTCTCTGTGCTTGGATGGCTTGGATCATCTTACTTCTTACTGTTCTGTGACTTGTTCCTGTTATTTCTTTGTATATTTTCTTTGCAGAACATTTAATCAAACTGTTGGGACTTATGATGAACTTCAAAAGTATCTCCAAGGGTATGTGGCAAATCTCACAAGAGCTGATGAAAAAAGGCATGCTAAGTAAGTAATGCAAGTACAAGACAATATCAAGACTAATTGACACTGGAAATTGTTTTTCAATTTAATTCTTTTCCATGAGAAACTCTCATTCAACTGTAATTAGTAGCATAAATTTATAGAAGGCCCAGAACAATTTAAAAGCTCAACTCATCCACCAATCAGGTTACAAACCCATCAAGTACCGGGTTTTAGAATTTGTGATTAGAGAGCAGTTTGAAGGTTTGACTTGTTTTGTTTGTAGTACAGTACATGCTACACATTATTTTGCTGCTGTGGTTTTAAATAGCATTATGGCCTCACCTTTTCAGGTATCTCTGCCTCCTAAATAAGCTTGTGTCTCACAAGTCAGACGAGCAGAAAACTCCAAAAACTACCAAACTATTTAAAAGTTTTTTGTTCATCTTTCGTTTAATGATGTTGATATTAATTATAGGACTGGTCTTGTAGTTGCTGAAGATCACGTGTAGTGTTATATGTAATTTGCTTATCTGCATCATTAATGTGCTTTATAATATTATTTGCTTGATTGATGGAAGAACTTCTCTCTGCTCAATTTTTCTTTTACTCTGCAATGCAGAAAGTAAAGACACAATCAATAGTATAAGGTTTGACTTGAACAATATCAGTATCAGTGATTTACTCAAGGTTTCCAGTTTTACCACTTTTTACTGTGTGTAAAAACATTATTTTTTTCTTTTAGAACAACTTGATATTCACCAATCCTAGTTTGGGTGCAAAGAAAACAATCAGAATCTTCAAACATGAACATTACAAAATTAATGTGTTTCCCCGAGCTAGTCATACTATAAAGTAAATTCACTTTTTCATTAACTAAAGTATACAAATTATTTGTGTAACATTTTATTTTGATTGTAAAGCGTATTATACATAGTGGCTTTAAAAACATTGTATTTAAAAAGAAGGTTAAAAATGAGAAAGTAATTCTGAGCTGTCACATGAACTGCTTAGCATCGAATCCCATGTAATGCCCAGACCCTTTGTCCCCATAATAACATTTAGTTTGTATACTATATTGACATTTGTATTCACTTAATATGCCTCAGTATTGTAAATATTAAATTAATATTTTTTCACAAAGCAAGATTACTCAGATACATATATACAAAACAGGCCATTGTGAATACAATGCTTTTTTTTTAGGTTTACATGCAGGTGGCAGCCACTCAGAATGCACAGTATTTCTTCCAAACCCTCAATAGGCATGCAAAAATGTTATGCATGTTTGTAGCCACAACAGTTCTCATGTGCTGTAGATATATTATGGGGCTTATATGACATTCAGACAACCTAAAGTGTGATGAAATGTAATATTTTAAGTGTTTTCTCAAGACTTAAGTAAGTCTTCAATACAGTAGTGGTGATTTGGGGTTCCTTCTCAGCCTTTATATCAAGAGGTTTATTGCATTTAATAGTGGGATATCTCAGAGAAAATGAATATTCAGTTAAATAAAAAAAGAAATTGAAATCTTTCCTTCCCAATCAATTTTTATTTAGTTTTAGAATACATTATAATACTGTTTTTGATAGATTCTAAAAAAGGTCTGTATGCATTGTGGTTTATTTAGGCTCAATGATTACCATGTTTCAAAACCTTGGAATTTCAGTCTCTAAATTATTGTCTTTATATGTATAAATTAGATTACTTGAATAGATCAGACATTTCCACAATTGAAATCTGAACATTATCATTTCAAACATTATGAAGAAGAAGCGAGAAGCACTGGTTTTATTTCTGATGCCCTGGTATTGCGGTTTCAGTTTTGAACTGGTAGACTCCACTGTGATTCAGTAAGTTGCCATTTCAATCAGTGACGCAGATCCTCCTTCACAAGAAGGGATTTATCAAATGCACCCAGCATGGGGCTTCAGAGAAGCAGAGGCAGGCTTTTCTTCTACTTGCCCCTGTGTTTTTGTGATATCTGTGGCTGCTTCACATGTGTTTTTTTTCAAGCACAGTAGTAAATTCCTCTTACAAATATGGCTGTAATTTATTTTGAAGTAAACATTGGAGCTTGTTACTCTGTCAAAGAATTAGCCCTTAAGATCATAGCTTTAGATCATAACCTGTATCAGATGTTCTTGAACTTGCAATTTAAAATGTATCCAGAGGAAATGTTAATTATAGAAAATGGACAAAAGGTTCTGCATCAATTTGAATGTCTATTGTTAATAATGTTTAACTTTTTATTGTGAAATCAGATGCATCAAAAATAATAATTAATGTTTTTTCGTAAGTTGTTGTGATTCTATTGTGTGTCTTAGTCCTTAGAGTTCTGTTTATTTTTCTCTTTCATACCCACCTTTTGTAGGAGATCAGCTTGTATGCACTGGGCTTCTGCTCTTTCCTTGGAGCTGATTCAGCTGAAGGAAAAAGTATCTAGCTTCTCATCCAGCTCCCCATTCGAGAACCTGGAAGTCATTGCCACACTAGGGGTGGGAGGTTTTGGCAGAGTAGAACTGGTATGTTCAGAGTACAGAGCATACTGGAATGTAAGACATACAATGCAAAGCATTGAGTTATGTGTGGTAGGCCAAGTATTCTGTACTGTACATAAAAAACAAATGTGTTAATATACTGTAGATGCTGACTCTACTTTGTACTGAAATCTTTCTATATTTTGTATTATATTCTTGCCTCTAATCTACTGTAGTATTAGACAAAGAATTGCCTACATTACTAAGCCTGTACAACACAGGCTTTGGGGGTATTAAGGAATTGAAGGCATATTAAAAAAAGAAGTGCTACGTAAATATCTTTTTCATTATCTAAAAGAAGATGCTGTTTCTTTTATAATAGATAAGAAATTATGTGAAAGTTCATTAACACTTGTTTGTTATAGTCATCTTGTGTTTTTTGCAAGTACTTGTGCTTAATACATGTAATTATATCATAAATATTTTACTACAGGTTAAAGTACGAAATGAAGACATTGCATTTGCTTTGAAATGTATCAAGAAGAAGCACATTGTTGATACCAGACAAGAGGAGCATATCCATTCAGAACGGAAGATTTTGGAGGAAACCTGCTGTCCGTTTATAGTGCAGTAAGTTTTAATTATATTAACAGTGTGTAGATTTTTCAGGTGGTTTAGTTCCAGCAGAGCTTTGATTATGGATCACAGTGCTTATTTGTAAGAATAAAGGATAACTTATTTTTAGTCAGTTGTTTCCTATACAAAATGAATTAACCATATGAATATTCTAAATAATGTAGTTATGTAAAATGCAGGCAATGTGCAGTATACAAGAATAAACATTATATAACTGAACACGTGTTGGAACTTCATAAGGATGATGACATCCAAGGTTCAGATGCTTAGCAAATTTTTATTGAGTATTTAAGTATAATCGAGATACTTAGGATGAGGAGGTTCAAGAGAGTGTAGTTAACAAAAGGCTGACTGCAAAGGTGGAGATGGGGTGGAGACGGGATGAATATAAAAAATGCAAATGAAAAGTGTGTGCAAGAGTTATATATATAGTGAAAGTCGATTGGTTGAGACAGTCTTGTCTGTCTTTATACTTCCCAAACTTCAGTTAAGTACTTCCATTTAAAAGCAATTATTTATGGAGCCAAAAGCATATCTCAGAGGTCAAATGTACTGGGCCAGCATGATTGCCTTAAAACCCATACTGACTGATGCAATGTGAAATTTGTTATTTTCATATTTATATTTCAATATGCTCATACATGGTCTCAAATTATTTTTTATTCTTCAAAATTAGTATATTGTAAATATTTTTAAAAATAAAAAATTCAGTAATTACTTAACATATTCCAAAATATACTGATGGAAAAATAAACCCAACTCCTCCTCCTCACTCTGGCCCTGGTCTGTGTGGAACAGGCTGAAGAGCAACTCATCTGTGAAGAGCACCTGATGCCACTGCTGACGAGTCCATCGCAGCCTCTGTCTGGCCCAAGCCAGTTGGTTGTGACATCTAGGAGGTGTGAGCAGAGGGCCTCTGACAGGTCACCTTGCTCTAAGGCCAGCAGCATGGAGCCTCACTGTCCTGTCACTGATACAGGCATTGTGTCTGCTGGCAATTTCAGCAGCAGTATGGGTAGCAGATCTGAAATGATCTCTCAGATGGACCAGTTAGATGTGTCGGTCTTGTCTAGTGTGGTCACTGGAGGGCGACCGAATCCTGGACAGTCATCTGTCTTGTCAGTCTGCTGAAACCTTCTCTGCAGTTGGGACACAGTGGAGCGGCTTACTCCATAGTGTCTGGCAATGCTGGCACATGACATGCCTGCCTGCAGCATGCCAATGGCCCTCTCCCTTGCTTCTGGTGACATTTGAGGCATTATGAAATGCACAGAAAACTGACTGAGTGTGGCCTTTTTCTTGTAGTGACCTGAGCTTTGAATTAAGGCCTTTTTAAAGGTGACCTGATCAGGCATTGTTCCACCTGGACCTAGTTGGCTTAAAGTGCACCTAATGAGCTTTCGTGTGATTGGAAAGTTGCAATGCCTCACTGCACAAGCTGTATTGCTGGTCAGAGGGCTTAAAACAAATTAACTTCTTGTGAAAGTACATAAGCTTTAACTATAGAATTTTCATTCTAGAAAATGTTGTGTTTCTTTTTTCCGTCAGTGTATATGGAACAACAACAATATATAATATATTTATATATAATATAACAAAATGTTGATTTCCAGAGTAAATATCCAGTCAGGATGGTAGGGACTATAACATATCTTTGCAGAAAAAAAACTTTGAAGATGCACTTATTCATATCTAACACATCCTCTGACTCTGCCACATTGACACCCCAAATAAAATAACATTTATGATCTTTGGGTAGAGAATGTAGGGGTGCTTTTGAACATTTTGTTTTGTAGGTATGGAAAACAGTAATTACAGTTTTATTAGAAAAATAAAAAAGTAACATTTAAAATTATGACAAACCTAACCATTCTGTCTATAGAGTGTTATTTCTTATTTGAGGTCATATACATTTGTTTACAAGCTTCTGCTGTAGTAAGTCACTTTTTATTTGCTTATATGTGTTTTTTCTTTATCATTAATGATTATACTTCAAATCATTAATGACCATTTATATAGAATTGTGGTTCATACATGAGTTACTCACTATTATTTTATTGGGTCGCTCCTTTTTGTAATATTTTTGATTCTAGAAAATAATGGATAGAAACAATTGACGGAAGGCCAGTGTTTTATAGTATAAATTCTAGTTTCTGTTTTTCTGAACAGACCATATGTTTAGAAAATCATGACAAATCTAGTTCTGCCATCTACCATTGCATCTACTAAATGAAGAACAGTCTTTATTTAATGAGGAGATGCCATTAAAAACTATAATGGTATTTAGTTAAAATTGTAGAATTTAGATCAAGGGCTATTAAATTAAAATTCTAAAACACACAAGTGGCCTAATTTGAATACTGTGTACAATTTTGGTCACCGTGTTATAGAAAATATACTTCTGCTTCTGAATTAGTCCAGAGAACAGCAACTGTTCTCTTGACACATTCTTAAGGTACACCCACAGGGTAAAGGAACTGAATTTTTTTAGTCTCAAACAGAGACGATTATGAGGGAACCTGATACAAGTATTCAAAATTCTCAAAAGCATTGGCAATGTCAACCCAACAGACTTCTTCAGACTCCCCAGTTTAACTTGAACCAGAGGCAAGTAGAAACTACATTGAAGTTCATCTCCTGCAACTCACAGCGGGCAACCCACTGAAGCTAAGCAGGTGTGAGCCTGGTCAGTACCTGGATGGGAGATCTCCTGGGAAAAACTAAGGTTGCTGCTGGAAGAGGTGTTAGTGGGGCCAGCAGGGGACACTCACCCTGCGGTCCATGTGGGTCCTTATGCCCCAGCATAGTCACAGGGACACTATACTGAAAACAGGCGCGTCCTTCGGATGAGACGTAAAACCGAGGTCCTGACTCTCTGTGGTCATTAAAAATCCCAGGGCATTTCTCGAAAAGAGCAGGGGTGTAACCCCGGCGTCCTGGCCAAATTTACCTAGATTTGGTAAATTTACATAGATAGAGATTATTAGGAGGCCCTTACCAATCATGGCCTCCTAATAATCTCTATCTATGAATTGGCTACATTACTATCTACTCTCCTCCCCACTGATAGCTGATGTGTGGTGAGCGTTCTGGCGCACTATGGCTGGCGTCGCATCATCCAGTGTGGATGCTGCACATTGGTGGTGGTGGAGGGGAATCCCCATTACCTGTAAAGCCCTTTGAGCTGGTGTTCCATCCAGAGTGTATACTCCTTTGCAGCTGTTGCTTGTCAGGATAGGCTCCACCTCCCCTTTGGCCCTGTATTAGATGAAGCAGTTATAAAATGGATAGATGGATGGATGAACTACTGAAATGATGGTGATAGGAGGGTGGGAAGAAATAATGTGTTAATTTGAACGAATTTTAAGCAACCTTAGTACTTTTATCATTTACAGTATGCACTGCTATGCAAGTGTCTTGACAGTTTACATAGTTCTTCTCTTTTAATTTGAATATTTTTCCTTCTCTATGTGGAAACAATTCTTTGAAAATGTAGTAACTGTTGATAACATTTAATGTATGCAAATTCAATTCCATGTAAATCCACCATAAATAATTTATGGTGGATTTACATAATTACTAGTGTTCATTTAATCAATTAAAAATTGTTTTGATTTCTGAATACCGTGTATTACTTATATTACAAAATGTGTTTGTGTAGGTTTAGTCAAGCATTTAGGACAGAAACCTACTGCTAATAGAACATACAATAGTGTGGGAGCCATCACTAAAGCCTCAGTCCTTCCATAACCTCCTCTGCTTTCGTGCCTGGATTCTGTCATGCACAGATTCTATTAGAGCTGACAGCAGTGTTAAAAGCTACAAAATGTGAGCACAGATGATCACAAAATGTTTTAAGCACATACGTGCAACAAAGGCAACAGATTCTGATAGCATCTCAGCTTTTCTTTTAAAAATGTCATTTTTAAAATGTTAAATATTAAAATGTTCCTGCACACTGGAAAAGTGGCATTCATTATACCAGAGACTAAAAAGTCCTGTCCCTTGGATAATAACAATTTTAGACCTGTAGCTCTGACATCTATTGAAATTAAATGCTTTAAAAGAATTATAGCTTCTATGCTTAGCTGAGAAGTGAGCTACTGGAGGCTTATCAGTTTGCATATACTGTAAATGCAGACAGGACACCGATGATGCAATCAACAGCATTATGCATGTTGTTGTCAAACACCTAGAGGACCCCAATGCCTATGCGGTATTTGTTGACTTCAGCTCTGCATTTAATACACTGCAGCACAATCCATTGATAAGCAAACTGAAGTTTAATCTTAATATTATCAGATTAATACCATTCATTTTTAACAAACCGTACACCATATGTCAGTCAATATGACTCTCTTTGAATTACGATTTATTAGTATACAGTATGTGCCCCTCAGTGCTGTGTAAGTTCAACAATTCTATCCACAATGTATGCAAATGAATGCTCAAGTTGTAGTCAAGGCAACTATATTGTTAAATTTTCAAATGATAAGCTGTTGACTTAGTGTATAAAGAAAGCAGTTTGTCTATGTATATGTCAGAAATTCATATGTGCAATGGTGTAACGAACATAACCTTATTTTGAATGTAAAAAAAAAGAATAAAGCTGTTGGTGACCATTAATGTTTAGTGATTCACAAATAACTTATTAACCAAGTTTATTAATATACGTATTTAGGAATATACATACACAGCAATCTAATTGTTTGCTCCAAACTTCAGAGTGTCAGGCTGCGGAGTTCAGCATGGGTGATATTTTTTAACAAAGTGTTTGGAATTGGACAGAGAATAGTACTCCTCTTTAACCATTGGGATTGTTATTAGATATGCTATAGCTTTATTTTCTAGTAATATATCAGTCCAATTAATCAACAATCACCCATCTTGTCTATAAATGTTATGGGAGTGAAGTAGTACTCTTCCAAAATTTTTAAACAATCCATGATTAAACAGGTAGAAAAAAATTCTCAGATACTTTTCTTATTCGTAATTGTGAATATAGACTTCTTCCCTCTGGCAAACGTTTAAGGATTCTGTAGATCAAATAGATACAAATATTTGTTTTTTCCCTTATCTATCAAAGCAACTAACATGCTTAAATAACAAGGTTAAATGCAATTGTGTCAGTTCTAAAATGATTAAGCTTAAAGATAATACATATGTGTAATATTTCATGACTATATCGTAACAAGTTATGCATGTGCAGTAGATATATAATGTTTTTGTATGTTATGTATTCAGAAGTACAGAAGCACTGTGTGTCCGTAAAAAAAAAATCCCCTATGACACAATAAAGTACATCTTATGTCTCTGACTTTTGGGAACTGCTGAGATTAGCGAACCTCATACCACTCAATCCCTCATATTCATAAGTCTTTTCTGAGAAGTAGCAGTGGGAGATCCTTTACTCGGTAAATTACTGGTACACCTCTCCATTGCGTCCAGCCACCACTGTCTTTACACATATCTCACTCACAGCTTCCACTGCGTCTTCGTTGCAACTGTACCACGCTGTTCCACTCATCTAATTTATAGCTTCTGGTGCTCCTCCCTCAAGCCAAAACCTCACTGTCTTCACACACATATGCAATAGTGGTGTCCTCGCTCTTCTGTCACCACCACATTCCTTCAACACGTAAGGGAAATAACACTCTTCTGGTGCAATCAATAGGTCAGTGCTACCCCTTAGAGCCAACCAAAGGCAAGTAGCTAGACAGAACACCTTCACATCACTCTTTACTCCATATGTAGTGAGGACTTCTCTATTACACCCCTGCACTCTGGTTCTCACAGTACCAGAAACTAGCAGCTAGTAAGATCCTTCCATCACTTTGTACTTATTGTCAAAAGTGAGGGTCTTTCTGTCTATGTCCCTGCTCTCTGGACTTCACTCACTGACATAAACCTCACTCATAAAGCAGACCTTATGTTCAAACAGCCCTGTTCCCACTGTGTCTACCGAATAGGCTGTGATTAAACATCAGTTCCCCCTGGGATTTTTGTTGATAAGTTGCTCACCTTCTGGGTGAACCTTTCTACAAATACTATCAAATCGCCTCTGAGTTCCTCAATCTTTCACTTTCTCGTAAATCCCCCTCTGGGAATTTTAACCAGGTGGTCTTTGTCCTAATCTAATAGTTACGTGGCCCCTTCCTGGAGTGGAACTGCAGCCTGCTTAGTCTGTACTCAACTCACACATGCAGTCACCCACTTTCTACTGTATAAGTCACACAGATGCCGAGACTTTTAACTTACAACAAACAGCCGTCTGCTCTCACACAGCACAGACCAACTCTCTCACAGCACATACAGTGGCAGACTCTAAAGGCTGATACTGACACAGACAAACACTGACCTGTTCTATGATAATAGACTTTCTTTCACTCTCTCACAGCCATGCCTCATCAACTCATATGGTCTAGCTTGATCAGGTTTTCTGCCTCGCCCTACCTGTGCTGGGACTACTTGTTGACTACTGTGCATATTAGTCAGGAAATACTATCTTATCTCTCTGTCCTGAGGTTAGCTTAGGAAGGTAGCCTAGCTTGCTCTTCTCAGTGAAATAAGCAGTCTGCACTTATAAGACTGCCCACAGCTGTGGCTCCTCATATTATATACCTCTTACAACTGTGGTTGCTTAGAGAAACATGCTTCTCTAGTAGAAGCTCTGGCCCTCTACATTGCCACACCTCTGTGAAATTACAACAGTAAGCTTGCATATGTTTATGAATACCTGCACATTCAGCTTACCAAATAATTGGTATTAGTTTATTATTTTTTATATTGTTTTATTTTTCTTGATGTACATACAAAGATGTTATTAAATTATCCATTATAGCTGCAGTTAGACAGAAATAAATGGCGGTATCCACATTATTAGTTGTTTCTTGTTTTGCACTCAACTTTGTTTTAAAAAACTGTAGATCTGTAGCAGGTCTGAATTCAAACACTGAGAAATATCATGATTGAGGTATAGCATGTGCGATTTTTTGAGAATAGCCCAAAAAACAAAATCTCTGACATACTGTACCATTTGTTTCAGGTTGTACCGTACCTTTAAAGACACCAAGTGTGTGTACATGTTAATGGAAGCTTGTCTTGGAGGGGAAATTTGGAGTCTCCTACGTGACAGGTAAAGAAATCTGGGATATTGAAAATAGCTTGAGACACCCCTTTGATTTTATTGATGTGATGTGAGATGTAAAAATGTACAATATGAGAGACATAATTCTTTAAACACTGTATATGGGATTAACATAAAAATACATATTTTAAGAAGTAATGAAATAATTCAACTTTTATTTAAAATAAATATTCATTTTACAAATGGGTATACATCTTTTTTTGATTGACCAAAAAATGATATTATTAGCACTGTATGGACAGAGCATGTGAACATGATACAGTATAGACAGTATGTGACTCACCCCTGATTAATGGCATGAATGCTTTCAACAAAGGTACATTTGATCTATATTTTAATTACAGGGGGAGCTTTGATGATCATACAGCCAAGTTTTGCACTGGTTGTGTGACTGAAGCATTTGATTACCTGCATCAGAATAGCATTCTCTACAGAGACCTGAAGCCTGAAAATCTCATGCTAGACTCAGAAGGATATATTAAATTGGTAAATTTCTTCCAGTATTCTACTATATACTGAAACATTTAAGTTCTAGAATGCACATAAAAGTACTTTATAGATGTACCACCTTGTTAAATTGATATAGTAAACAAATTAAGTAACTTTAAGTGTCTTTCATAAATACCTGATATGATCTATTGATACAAAGCTTATTTGTTTGAGTTTTTTATGAATGTATAGTGTTAAAAAATCTTTCTTATTTCTCAATCTAAGGTTGATTTTGGCTTTGCAAAGAAAATTGAATGTGGACAGAAGACATGGACATTCTGTGGAACCCCAGAATACGTTGCACCTGAAATAATTTTGAATAAAGGCCATGACTTTAGTGTGGACTTCTGGTCACTTGGGATCTTGGTATTTGAGCTTCTTACGGGCAAGTTAGTATGCTTTGTTTTAGATTTTTTTGGAGGGCTTTTACAAGTGGAGGATTAAAATATCTTTCCTAAAAGCATATGTGTAAATATTCATTGCAGGAACATACAATACATTGTTTTATTGTGAATTATGCCATTAAATAAACAAATACTGGATAATTAATTAAAAATAGCAGTGGTACACTGTGATTTTTACCTACCCAGTACTTTTTCAATAACATAACATCACTTTATACAGTGATGTTAGCCATTTACAGTTTCTTGCATACTGCAGCTTGAGACACAGACACACAGACAGGGAGAGAGAAGCTTGGGGTCAGAGCACACGGTCAGCCATTGTACAGCACCCCTGGAGCAGCTGGGGTTAAGGGCCTTGCTCAGGGGCCCAAAAGAGTAGGATTCCTCTGCTGGCTGCGGGCAACCTTCCAGCCACAGGTGCAGACTCTTAGCCACAGAGCCACCGCTCCGCCCTATAGTAAGAACATAGACACTGGAAATGCAATGTTCCAGAAAAATTCAAATCTTAGGAGAACATAATCTTTGATCGATTGAAAAGTGTTATTGGACTTTCCCTTTTTTGTTAGAAAAAGTGTAGAAAATCTTTGTTTATCCATTCTGTGTTAGCTAATGCTTATTTATGTAAGTGATGTTCCCTATTTGGGTTGATAAATCAATTGAAACACTATCTTAATTATCTGTGTCCAGTAGTATTTAGCTACCTAACAAAGTTTTAGACCATCAGGATTGTACCAGACAAGAAGGTCTTTTTTTCCTCTCTAGTCTGGTTACTAATATATCATTGATTGAAGCTAGAATATTATCATGTACTGTATTTAGATTATTTTGAATAGTATAATGTAGTATATATCTTTCAGAATATAATCACTTACAGTTTATTTTGGAAATCACTGTCTAAAAAGTCTGACTTCAGTTTTGAATCTACACAATGAATTAAAGAGAGAAAAGGATAAATTAATTCAATTTGTTACTATTTTTTTTAACAGCCCACCATTTTGTGGATCAGATCAGATGATGACCTACAATTTTATACTGAAAGGTATTGAAAAAATGGACTTTCCAAAGAAAATAACAAGACGGCCTGAGGACCTGATTCGAAAGCTTTGCAAGTAAGATTATCTTCAGATTGATTTCAGAAACACTTTAAACCTAATGACCACAGGCAGTTTTACATTTTAAAGCATTACTCTATAACTTCCTGTGCCATAGGTCTGATTGGGGTATCTCTTTGAAGGTAAACAGTTCATGAGCAGTTCCAAAGCAAACAATGGGGACTCTTATGAAATAATTCTCTGAATATTCTGTAGTTCTTCATCAAACATGTTGATGTTTGCAGTTCATCAGACTTCTCCTAAATGAGCTATTAGTTTGAAGCAACTTCTGCTTAATTTTCAAGCCCACTTGAGGCTTAATACAATCTTGTATAAAACAGATCACAATCTGTAAACTTGTTACCAGCAGTGTTTCTTAAAAACCAAACTAAACTGAAAGAACTTGAAAACATCAATTCATTATATAAACAATGAAAAGGTTAAACATTAATAAGTCAAGGACTGCAATAATAAGATACAAAAACAACACAGTAATTTATCAAGTTGTCAGGGTAATAATGAGTTAAAATAGTATTATTGGACAGAGAAACAAGGAAGTAACAAAAGACAGATATTCATTCCAATTGATGACATTGTATTCAGAACATGAATCCAAAAATAAGTATTTTATCTTCATTTACACCTTTATGATTCATATTACCCAAATCTCTTTCCCTGCCAGTGCACTTCATGGCAAGCACATTATAATTTATTTATAATATTTATTTCTGCAATTTCCCTCACGAGATCAATAAAGTATCTATCTATCTAATACATGTCTTGCTACTGAAACATTTAGTCTTGTTTGAGGCCACTCCACTGTTAATAGATACATTTTAATTTAATCAAAGTTTTTATTATCTTTTTTCTTGTTATGTTTTAAGCAGTTTTTATCAATTGTTTAACTATTTTTGATTAACAGACAGAATCCAACAGAACGCCTGGGAAACTTGAAGAATGGAATTACTGATATTAAGAAACACAGGTGAGTCATTATGTTGCAAAATGTATTATAGAGTTCAGAGTTTGAGATAAGAGAAACATTTCATGGGTTAGGAATATCCCAGTCTCTCCACACAGAGACCTAAGCTGGAAAGCATTTATGAAGCATTTCTTTAGCTTAAAATAACAATTTTTAATGTTGCCAATTATTGAGGTAAACCTTGAAAGTCTGCCTCACGACCAAGCACTGCCCTCAGGGGATAAAAAGGAGGAGATAGTTCCTTGACCTGCTGAGAGTCACATTAGAGGCGCTGCCTCACGACTGGGAACGAATCCGTCAAGGGGAAAGAGAAAGAACCCCTGACTGGAGGAACCACTTTAAGAAGTGCTGTTTGAGGGGTTGAGAATGACGAGAAAGCTGCTCGCGAAGGAAGCAAAAGAAGTCCCCTGACTCGCTGAGAGTCACTTTCAGGTGCTGCCTCGCAACTGGGATAAACTTTCAGGGGATCGAGGGAAGGAAAATTAGTTAGAGTTCCTGAGAATAATGTGAGAATAATGTGGCCGGGGGTCCCCTCTGGCTCGCACTTGAGAACCTCTTCAGAAAGGGTCAAGGTGGCGCTGCCATCCTGACGTCAGGGAAGTGTCTTTACTTACCCCCCAGAGGGAACCTGGATGCAAAGGCAACATGAAGAAAGAGGAGGAGGGGGGGGGGGAATTCAAAGACTCTAGACGTGTGTTACCAAGGTATTAGCAAGGTTACGGTCTATATAGGAAAGAAGTAATTGAATGAAAGAGGAAGGGGCGGAGCCCCAGCTTCTCCCTTAGAAGTCCACCTATCGGATTCTATTTCATGGGGAGAAGCAGGGGTTATTAAAGTACAGAAAGGAGCATCTGGACTGCACGGGGAAACCCAGTAGGCCGATTGGGGTTGGCTGACTTGGCAGCCTCCGGAGCATGAAAACATGAACACCCCTGATTCCCTGAGAGTCGCTTGAGAGGCGCTGCCTCATGAATGGGAGCTAAGCCCTCAGGGGTAGGGAAGGAAGAAGAAGACTCCCCTGACTCCTTAAGGGGCGCTTTTAGAGGTTCTGCCTCACGAATAGGTTATGCCCTCAGGGGATAGAAAGGAGGAGATAGCCCCTTGACTCGCTTAGAGTTGCATGAGAGGTGCTGCCTCACGACAGGGAACATATTCCTCAATGGGGAAGAGAAAGAACCACTGACTGGAGGAATCACTTTAGGAGGCAGGTGAAGAGGCTATGTGTGAGCCTGACCGCACAGTGGAGAGGAAAAAACACCTACATGCCAATTCAGGGGAAAACTTCTGGTGGCCCCAGAGGAACAGATGCCCCAACTCTGGGCATACTAGCAATAGATAATGAATAGCTGAAATGCCTGAGAGAGTGGTGTTGATGTAAAGGTGGACTGTAGAGGAGGATGACTGGCCCATTGTGTAAATATGTTGAATATCCAGGATAGCTCGGGCAGTGGAGATGACAACTATGATTCTGAAGAAACGAGGAGAAAACTGAGGGTTGAGACCAGCATTGGAGACTGAAACTCACAGCAGAGGAGAAAACATGTATCTGGGTACTGAAGTATCCATAACGAAGCGGATCAGGCTAGAAAGAATGAAAGTATACAAGGGATACAAGTCAGGTCACTCAATTCTGGGAGAATGAATACAGACAAACTGGTGAATTGAGGTTCTTAGAATCTGTTAAGCTGAAACCGAATCGTATAAAAGTAGAAAAAAGGGGGCTAAACGGTCAGAGTGAGGTGGAATAGGAATACATCTGTCAAACAGTGATTTGAGGAGCCTTGGAAGAGGCCAGTCCTTGTAAAAGAGACGAGTCGGTGTATCTGAGGTGGTGCGGCAGTGTTTGAAAGGCGTAAATCGGGTGGCTGGATGGGAGAAGCAGAAGCATTGGCGATGGTTGAGAGGAGGATTAGTTTGAAAATTAGAAGGTTGTGATGGTGAAACAGCAGAAAACAAATGGCATGGAGAATCTTCAAGGTACTGGAGGAGGGAAAGGTGGTCTGGAGATGACATAGATTTAGGCTTGTGAGCCATTATAGGTCTAGTGCTCAGAATTCAAGTAAGTTGTTAGCAGGTTTAGGGTTTAAACAGTAAAGAGATAATTGAATTATAGAGGAAGGGGTAGAGGACCCCCCACTTCTCCCCTAGAACTCAGCTTATCGGTTTCTATAACATGTGAACCAAGTGTTAGGAGGCTTTTGGACTTCTGGTGTAAGAATGGTCAGGTTTCAAACTGTGCATTGCTGCAGTGGAGCCTACTCTGTTTCAGAAATGCTGTCACTCCCCCTTGGCTTCTGCTCCTTCTGGTTTCTGCTGAGATCTTCCTGTCCCTTGGGCTGATAATGGCTAGATTCTGCCTTAGTAATTTAATTATGTTTTTTTAAGCCTTAGCAGATGGTCTTATATATTCTTTTTAACTGTGCATCCACCACAACTTGCTAAGGCAGCAGCTAACTGTATAATTTGTTCAGCATGCTCAGAGGTAGGGACCCTGAGGTCAACAACAACAACAACAATTAGAGCCTTATCCATTTTTGTTGTTGCTGAATTATCCTGTCTCAGAATCAATAAAATTATGTAGTCTTGACTTTATGTTTTTGTGATCTTTATATTTTTAAATTCTGCCTATGATACATTATGAAATAATGAAGCATAATTGTCCTTTTACATGACCGCTGGATAATAAATTATTAGTCATAGGTTTTTTGATTGCCCAAATTTCAAAATTGATTAAAAGGTAACCCGTGATAACATTAACAGTATAATTTCCTTCTTATGTAATGTTATATTTTTCCCTGGCTATTGCCTTTAATGTTTTATTGATGAAGCACATCAGCATTATCTTCAGAAATGTTAAAATGTTCATATGAGTTCAGAATCATACCTGGATTACATAAATTGAATTTTAAAGTTTTCTCTTATATATGATCATTTCAATGTAGTATAGGGAATATTATCTGGGTGGAAACTGATATCATGTCTAATTAATATGTGTATCAATTATTTACAGGTGGTTTAACGGCTTTAATTGGGAGGGGCTGAAAGCCAGAAGTTTAATGTCCCCACTTAAAAGAGAGGTAACAATGTATATTTGTCAGTTTCAGGAATCAAGAAAATCTAACATTCTTGTATAACATTTCCCTATCTTAAGCAGATAAATGAAGGTCCTGCATGAATTAATAAGTAATGGAATGCAGATTGAGCCGTTTGATCCACATGTCACTCACTGACTGTAAACTAAAATCCCTCAGCATTGGCACACAAATGGCAGAGTGCCACTGCAGTAGGGTTAGGAGGAGTTAGTGCTCCCTACGCATTTCAGCAGTGAGTCCTGTGACCTTAGGAGAACAGTGATTTCACCAAGTGTTGTGTTTCCCCTCCAATCTGTAAGAAATCTCCTGTCAGGCACCAAAGCACTTACAACAAGTTAATTGATTAATGGCTGTTCAGGACAGCATGTTAGAGGAGCTGGTCCATGTCTCCTTGTCCTCCAAGTGAAATATCCACTGTGAGACGTTGCCAGAGATCCAATTCTTAAAACCACTATGCCTGGATGTGTAATAAAAATAATTTAGTTGAGGTAATTTATTATTTAACAGACATTTAAACATTTACAGTTTTGAAAATCTGTTTTAATTAGTCTTGACCAACTATTGGCAGTGATTTCTTGTGAAACTGCATTTAAAAAGGTGAAGAGTTATGTCAAAGTTAACTTGTGAATACATATTTTACAAGTACATCTCTGTATATGTAAAGTAATATTTGTTTTAAATATCTACAGATGTCTTAAGTAAGAGCCAGTGTCAGGTCAATAGATAGAAACAAAATTAATAATTTATTAAACAAAATAATCACTTAATAATTTAATCTTTTTTATTGCAGTTAAAAGGCCCAACAGATCATAGTTATTTTGACAACTACCCTCCAGATGTCGACATTCCCCCAGATGAGCTGTCCGGCTGGGATAATGACTTCTAAGACATTCTGTTGTTCTAGTCATCTGGAGAACAAAACCACAGTTATATTCCTAATAATGGCCATTTTGTGATGTTGCTAAGTGTCAAACAGTAACTCTTTCTATGAATAGTGATGCTTATAAGGTGTGTGGGATCAATTTTACAATTTGCAAATAGGAGTTTGTAAAGAAGAAAAATGAAAACTGAACAGGCTATGAGTTTTCATGTCTGTGTTTTTCTGAAACCAAGGAAAAGTGTATACCTGTGCTGAACTAAAAGTTTTCCAAGGGTTGAATTGTGAAGAAGATGAAACAACCAAACTCAATTTTCTTTTCAGTTTTAGAGAAGATGGCTCTATGTGTTATTAACAAGCCTAATTTCTCACAAATTGCATCTCTGCAATCAAAGTCACCAGAGAAACAAATGAGTTTAAAAACAGTTATAAAGACACTTTTCTTTGTATGTATTAGATATTCTATATATTGTGAAGGATTTTGTGAGTAAGCTGTGATGTCTTAGAAAAGGTTTAATTTCCTGACAATGTTTGAAACTGTGTGTTTTTATTAAAATATTTTACACTTTCAAACTCCCAAAAGACTCACCCTCAGACTCGCCCTCACTGGATGGCTTACATCCTCCAAATGTGTCTGAAAAATGAAAGTCTCTTTTCTGTATGTCTACTTTTATTAATATTAGCAAAGCTTATGCATGCATACAGGAGTATTTCTGGACATTTAAGTTCCAAAAGCTCTTACGGCTCTTAGCTTTATGGTAGTAGCTATTTTTTCCAAAGATGTCATCTAGCCACTTCTTGAAAGATGCCAGGATATCAACTTCAGCAATGTGGCTCTGTTGCTTGTTCTATACTCCCACAGCTAATTGCATATATAAGTGCCTTCTTTTCTCGGTTTTAAGTGCATTGTCTTCTGATTCATGTTTCACTATTTATTCTTAAGAAGTCTACTGGGATGGATTTGTCAGTGCACTGGAAGATTTTGAATCCTTGGATCAGGTCCCCACATAGTCTTTGTTCAATACTGAAAAGGTTCATTTTCTTTGGATTGCCAGTTAGGACATTCCCTTCGGATCCATAATGTATTTATGGACTGATTCCAAAGTAGAAATATATTTTATTGAATGGTAATTAAATAGTACACAATATTCTAAATTAGGTGTTACCTGTACATAGTACACATTTAACATTTTTTTTTATTTTTTTTGAATATAGTTCATTGATATAAATTAGGAATACCAGTGTTCCTTGAACAGATCCCTGTGATTCTCCACTAATCACATCACCTAATTTTAAGCTGTATTTTTACAGTTGCCTACTAAATATGCTGTTGTAATTTTACTGTATATACTGTATTGTGCATGTTCATGTTTTTGTTCTTCAAAGTACTTTGTTTTTTATTTAAACAAAATCTCCTTTTTAGCCATCTGCCATCTCCCTTTCATTTTCTAGTTTTCCAATTATCACTCCAAATACATTTCATCATCATTATAATAATAATAATAATAATAATAATAATAATAGTAATTTAACTTTTGATTTACTCCTAGAATAAATCTGTTCTGTTTCAAGACGAATCTGTTTAAATTCAGTTTATTAAGTTTGTTTATTTTTTCTGAAACATGCTTTCTATACAAGAAGATCTAATGGTTAAACCATTACTGTAATAGGAAGATAGGCATAACTGTACATAAATGTTTTTAATTATGACTACAATTATTATAATAATTACAGAATAACAGGGAATTGATCATCATTATAGGAAAAGAATACTATTTATTACAATGCTAACTTTTCCTTCTTTGCATACGCCAATAACAGTTTGTTTTGAAATAATTTTCTTATTTCTCTTTTTAACAAAGATATTTTTCTGGAAATATTTTCCAGCAAAATACAGCAAATACAAATGGAAACTCACATGAAGAAAAAGCTAAAAACTAAGTAATGGGGGTAACTCAACAAAGCCCAAAGGTGTCAAAAAGCATCCACCATGCTATCAATAGTTTTTGTAGTTTCATAAAGGAACTATGTTTCCTGTCATAAAAGCTATTCTTGCAAATTAATGCATCCAAGTGTAATTTACATGAACCTCATTCTCCACCCAATGTTGGCTGCAGGTTAACCTGTGTCAGAGTGGATCTCTGACATAGAAACAATCTTCACCTGCTATTGTGCTACACACATTCTATGAACAAGTTAAAAAATATTTAACTGGTTTTGACTGAAAGTGCTGTCAGGCTGAAGACTTGAAGGAAAACTGCTGAGTGGACTGTAGAGTCAAAGGGATGCAATGTCAGGCTGAAGACTTGAAGGGAAGTGCTGAACAGGCTGGGGTCAAAAGGATGCATTGTCAGGCTGAGTTGGAGTAAGCAAATGAAGTCGAACAATGGACAGACGATGGGGACCAGTTGAGTGTGGCCCAGGCTCCAGGGCAGAGAATCAGCCCAGGAAAGCTGCTGAAGATTCAGCCCACAATATCACTACCACAACCCTAGTGGCTTCACATCAAGTACACAATAGGTCTGAAAATAAATCCCATAAGGCTGCTAAAAAGGCAGTTGACTTGCCTTCTAACTTCCAGTGAGTATGCAATGGCATAAAGAAAGTAAAACTGTCCTGCCATTGGGAACAGAAAAACAGTTCCTTTTGCAAAAATGTACAAAGTAAAGATCATATTTAGGTTATTTAATGTGTTAAAAGAACAATACCTGAGAAAAGAACAATTCAAAATAAAAACAAGCAGTTTTAGTAATGGAGTTGTTTTAAGGTTTCTCTCAAAGCATGAAAAATAAGAAGTAGGCTAACTTAGTTTTAAACCAGGACGTGACATGATAATTTGCAGTCTAATTAAATTACCAGAATGGTGCTGTAATTTCTAAATGTATCCTCAATTTGCTGTTTAAATTAATTAAGACTTTGAACTTTGAGATCAGGGGATGCTGACAGATGTTCTTGCTTGTTTTTATCTGTCTAAAGAGGCCTATTCCTTATTTCATTATACAAACAGACCTTTTCTAACTACAGAGTAATTTTCTCTTTTAGTTTTGCAGGTTTTATGTGTACATTTTAGTTGCTGTAGTTATTTCTTCTGATAAATGAATGTCTCTCATTGAGATTGAAAACTTAAACATGAAACCCTCCTTTTTGAAGCCCCAAAGTGATGTTATTAAATATTTTAGCAGATTGCAATATGACAATCAAGATGTGAATTTTATTTTCAATTGAAGAATCTAATGGCAGTAGTGTATACATTTTTTGTAATGTTTTCTTTATGTTGCCACAATATTATCCATCCATCCCTTTTCAAACCATTTCTTCCAATTCTGGGTCACAGGGGAGATGAAGCCTATTCCAGCAAGCAATGGACCAAGGTAGGGTATACTCTGGAACGGACACCAGTCCATCACAGGGCACACACAGACATGAGCACAGTGTGAGGATTGAGCTAGGGGGCTGCTGCAAGGGTGTAGATGGGGTGGCATGAGGGATGAAAGAAAAATATGCAAAGGGAAGCCACTCTCGAATGATAGAGGTGTAATGCACCGTACTGTGAACATAACTAATGTGCTATGACAAGACATACCATTCAATACCTTTTTCATTTTTTTGAATAATCTGTTGCAGGACTGCAGTACTCTGTACAACTGTTAGGTGGTCCAGTGAATCCTTAATGCACCATGTGTCAGCTGAATCTTTTGTATACAGTACATTTTATTTTAAGATTAATGAGAAAACATAATTTTGTTCTATATTTTGATCGGTAAAAATATATTATGTTTACAGTAACACTTTCAAATCGTATCATATTTAAAAGCAAATAAACATGTAAAAAGTAAAGGTTATTGAGGACTTGAATTACTTTATGGTCACGTATTGTAAGTTGCTGTGGAGTTGATACTAAGTCTTCACTATATAAATATTTTTTCTTTACAAAAAACACCTTTTCTCCACAACAATGCTGCAATAGCTGTGACCAAAAACCTTTGATAATAATAAGCTGTTCTACTGTTTCTCTGTAATTCCATGCATGTTTTAATTCAGCATTTTTTTTATTTTGAAACACGTCTCTTTGGTTTCACTTAATCAGTAAGCAAATATAACATCAGTAATTTTATTTATGTGCTGTTTCTTTATGTTTAGAAATATACATTATAGTACAGATCCAGACACTCAGAATGTGCTAAGAATAATGTGGCATAATGTGCCAAACGGTGCCTTTCAACATGTTTTTTTTTTAATAATCGGATGTTGGACTGCACTACTTTGGAAAACCACCAGGTGCTGCAGTGAATGCTTAATGTGGCATTTGCAAGTTTTAATTCTAGTAATAATTCCTTACACTTATGTAGTGCTTTTCTGGATATTCCATGCAAAGGGATTTACAAGAAATTATGACTATCCTCCACCACTCACCTGGATAATGTGGGTGAACAGGAGAACAGAATTCATAGATGGGGATTATTAGGAGGCCATGATTGGTAACACACCTTCTCTTTTCTACAAACACCCTGGAATTTTGAATGATCACAGAGAGTCAGGACCTTGGTTTTATGTCTCATCTATTTTAAACAGAAGTTATTAGCCCTACTGTAGTTCACACCTTTATGTGAGATCAAGGTGTGCTCAGTGGGTGTTTCGTTTTGATTATACAATGTATTTGTCCCTGATGCATACTGTACCATCAAACGTTTTGAAATTATAAAAAACATTATAAAAAGCCTGGGATTTGACCCTTGCTGATCTTGCACAAGAGAAAGGGCTACTTTTTGAGAAGTTGTATACTGTTTGCAAAGTAGCTGTTTATGTCAAACTTATTTTGCATGAAGAATTTAAAATCTGTCTGCCTGACACTATTGCAACTTATTTAATTGAAAAGAAAGATACCTTGCTCTTACAAGCAGCCATGTTAGCAGATTAGTTTTTAGAAACCTGATTGATTTGACTTTGTTTTGTCTCATTTAGCTGAAGCAGAAAAAGAAAGTGTTCTCTAGTTGTTAATGTTATTGAAATTCGATTTACTGCCCCCTACTGCAATTAATAGCCTCTCATTAACTTGCAAATGTGCTGAATCTACGACACTGCACACTTTTACTGGATATACAGTATTTCCAACAACCTTTTCTAACAACTCAGCCAAATAATTAAAAAAACTACTAATATAATAATATAGAACTGATATAATATCATTGCTAGTAAGAAGAGAAAGGGCAGCAAAAACACGTATAAAAACTAACATTTAGATTAACAATTTATAAAATTAAAAATATACATAGTGTCATTACAATTTGTATTTAAAACTAGTGCTGTATTTATGTGATTTCTGTTTAAGGGAATCTTTACATTCCTCCGCTCTTCCTGAGCATCCTGGAGATTTCTGGTCTGGGGGTTTGGAAGTGCATTCATATTATTACTTTATTATTATCTTATTTTAATATTTCAAAAATAACCACAAGTGGTATTTTCAGCTACCCAGATTTCTTTAGTTACATGATTCCATGTTAATAATTCATATTAAGA